AAGCAGGCTCCACACAGTCAGTGCAGAGCCTGATGTGGGGCTCAGACTCACAAACTATGAGATCATGATCTGAGCCGAGATAAAGAGTTGGATGCTTAGCTGACTGAGCCACCTAGGCAGCCAGTACTGTTGTCTTTTTATATGTGTTAGTCTCAGAGATAGGTATCGCTTGGCAAAAAAAAAAATGCTTATTCGCTCTGAAAATCAATATGCAAAACCATGAATTAATTATTAATGTTCCAAAGTGTTCCCCCCAAAACTAAAATATTTTAATGGGGTTATGCCATGTGTGTTTTTGACTAGACAATCTTGTTTAAGAAAATATTAAATTAAAAAAATGCATCTGATTATTTCAGTTCCTTTACTTTTCATTTGTTCCCATTCATGCTCTAAATAGAATCCAGAAGAATGCTAAGTATCATGATACGCCTTGAGAGAGACTTCTAGTGATATAGCCCTTTTTTTTTTTTTAAAGAAGACTTTTGTAGTCAGTTCAGTGTGGAATTTTTCAACTAGTAGCAAGAATCAGTCCATTTATGTGAGATGTTGTAATTCATTCAGCTAAGGATTCCCTTCATATTATAGAGTGAATGGGATGCACCTAGTTACAGATAGGAAGAAAAGCCCTCTCTACCTCTCTACGTCACTTCAGATTCGAACCTTACACAAGTGAGTTCTTGTTGAAGAGGAGGGTGGCTTTCTGACAGGCCCGTTTTCATCCGGTGGGGTGAGCTCAAAGGGTTTTGACTTAATTTAACCTAGCAAAATACAACCCCAAATTTCTTACACTACAACGCTAAGGTTTTATTTTGCGTAAGTCTGTTTCCCCTTTTTTATGGCTGAGATAAGGGAAGGAGAATGTTTACAATGAAGTTGACAAAATAAGATAAAGTGAGTTTTGAAATATGATGGTGCTCACATTGTTGTTGACTACAGTGAACTTAATAAAATATTTTAAATTAGGTACACTTTAATATAAATATAAATGATTTAAATACAACACTTATCTAACTAGATTCAGTATTTGACAAATAAATAAAAGTATTTATTTCTTCTTCTTGGCCTATAATGACTGTTAACAGTTTGTAGGCTTAAAATATGGCACTCTTAAAAGCGCTGAAGTTAGCAATTAACTGTTCTTGAGAAGGATTTGCTTTATTACATATTGCTTCACTTTCGGTATGAACATTATAATGTTTAATATGGTAAGGGTCTTTGTTATTCATCTTAACTATACAAATAATCTCATTTAAGTGTGTGGAATAACAAATTTATATACCATATGATTTCCTTAAGCCTTCTCAATATATTAAAGCATGTTTTGATTTTTCTCCCCGCTTCGTGTTACTCTAGGATAGTTTCCCAGCACGATTTGGAGGAATTCATTTTGTCAACCAGCCATGGTATATCCATGCCCTGTATACCGTGATCCGGCCTTTCCTAAAGGAGAAGACTCGAAAAAGGGTATTTGTTTGTTTCTTTGTTTTTATACTTTTTTCTCCTCCCACATTCAATGAATTATGATGCATAATGTGTATATAATATCGGGTGTGGTAAATGTACCTCTATATTGCATATAAATATTCAACATACAAGATATTTAAAAATTCTTAAAGACCATATAAAAGAAATATTCAAAAGCCCGCAAGCCTGCTTGTCTATTTTCCCACAAATTGGGAGAACATGTCAGTACATTCATGATAAAGCCCCAGTTTAAAGTAAAAAAAAAAATTATGCCATGTTACTAGATTGTTATTAGTACACCTAATTTCAAGTAAGATCTAGAGAAAAGTTATCATTTTATTAGTGGATATATGAATGCTAGTTATTTCACAATGTGTATCATATTGAATATAGTGAATTTTGTGAAATCTAATATAATTTTGTGGTGATCATCATGATCGATCACACATTTCAGAAAGAATGCTGATGTTTAAAAATATTAATATTTGTTTAGATTGCAAGTTACTTGAGTTCTAAGGCTCGGTTTCACTTAACAATGAGGATATTCAAAGTACATGCAACAAAATAATCATTTTTTCTGCAAATAAGATGATTTATATAAAGCGTTTAGCACAGTGCATGGTACATGATAAATGCTGAACGCATTTCTCATTATTATTAATAATACAGACTTTAAAATGTGTTTTAATGCACATTATTTCATTTTAGCCTCCAAAAGTTTCTGAAGTGTAAATTTAGTAAGCAGTATCTCCTATCTCGGAGCTAAGGAAAGTAAGTCTTAAGATGGAGCAACTTGCTTACTCAGTTCCACAGCTATAAAGCTCGTATAGGAATCCAGACATCTCCAGATTTAGAGCTATTTTTACCACCGTGCTGTGACCAATTTTCAAACGATTAGTTCCAAAGTAAAGTATACTTTACTTCTAAATCTTTATTGAAGGCAATTTTCCATGTTTCCCAATGAATGAGAAGGCACTTCAGGTATTTCCATGCAATGTTGTAGAAGCCTCCTTGTGAGCATAAAAGCGAAGTAATTGTTCAGTATGTGTTTGTATCAAACATTAGTGAGCAGAAGGTCTTCTGGATATGAGTTTGTTGAAAATGTTTCAGTAGTTTAGGAGGAAGAATTCTGTAAACAATTATAATTTATATCAGGAATAGTTTCTACCAGTGAGAGTCAAATTAATTTACTAGAATTAAGAAAAGTGTATTAGATTTAAGAATTCAGAAAAATGTGTTAGAATTCAGAAAAATGTATTGATGTGCTTCACAAGTAACACTTTCAAACTTTGTTTTATGAAGAGATGATCAGGTGATCCAAAACACCTGCTGGGGCTTTTAGTACGCATTATACTAGTGAATGCTTCTGTAGTATTCACTCTATGCCACATGCTGTTCTAAGTACTTTACATATGTTAACTCATTTAATCCTTACAACAATGGCTCAAGGGGAAGCATTGTTATTTTTCTCCCTCTATAGATGGGAAAATGAGTTACAGAAGGTTAAGCAAATTGCTCTAAATCACAGCTAGGAGGTAGTAGAGCTGAATATGTGGATTTATGGGAAAGACAGTGCCAGACAGAGGGCATAGCAAAGACAAAGGCCCTTAGGTAGAAACATGCCTGGGATATACACTTAGCAAAAGCAAGGAGGCTCAGAAAGCTGGAGCAGAATGAGCTGCTGAGGAGGGTAGTAGAGGATGGGATAGAAGGGGGCATGGCGTGGCAGATCACATGGGGCTTTGTATTCCATTGCAAGGGTCTGGGCTTTCAGTCAGAGTGAAATGAGAAATACTTTGAAAGACTATGAGTACAGGGGTGACTTGTTCTGAGCACAATGTTCTGCTCTGTTGAAAAAGACTAAAGAGGATCAAGTCTAAAAAATGAGGAAAGTTCCAGGTTTGCGGTTATTTGAGTGAACTGAACAGTTTTGACAATGCCTAGAAAAATTCTTTGGTAGCATTATTCCAGACGGAAGTGAGGTATCTGAGCTTTACCATTTTAATTAAAACTATATGACTTATAAATAGTTATAGGTTAAAACACTTTTAATTTTTACTTAAATAATTAATGTAATGTACAAAGCAATTATATTTCTTTACAGGTATTCCAAGTGATGCATTCAGCATCACCACATTACTCAAACACTTCCTCAGATGTTATAAATCTATGCTGTGAAAAACTGGTAAAAGAAAACTCAAGGAATAATTGTGAATCTTTTGTCACAAAAAGGAAACACCTGATTATCTGTTTGTTTGTTTATTTATTTATTTATTTTCATTAAACGAAACCTGACTTTGAGTCTCCAACATGCTGAACGGATAGGCATATGAACCCAAAGTGGTAGAAGGGTCCCTTCTTCCCCAAATCTCATTGATATCTGGAGTCTTTCATGCAGAACCAAACTTCCCATCCATCATGGCCACTTGACATCTTCATTGTTGAAGCCAGTACTAGTTCCTTGAATAAAGGTTTCCTTCTGCTCCCAAGTTATCTGTAATTAAGCTAGAAACCAATGGCTAGGCTTCAACTCTCATGTACCCTTCAGCTATTCTAGGGCTGTGGTCTTGCCACTCACCAAGAGATGACAGGATATAGCTTTCCCTACTGATGGGTGCAGATTTCCACCTGTGCCTCCATATGGTGGACTCTGCTATTCCTTGCTAATTCCCAAATGTATTTCACTTTCCTCCCTTCCACTCAGGTCACTTGCCATAATCTCTTTAATGGCATGGTTTAGGGAAATAAAATAGAAGCATTATTTAGGCTAATTCGTAGAATTGTAAGGTACACTGAGGCTAGGGAGCCCACAAAGACAAGACTTCCTGAATGAAATGGTGGAAAAGAAAAATATAAGGAGAAAAAAAAATAGCAAAACTTTAATAAATCATGCCGCTATCAACAACTAGTTAAAACAAAGAAATATCTAAAGCAAAAATTAAATAGTTGGATTATTGCAATGCATCCTTTTGCCCATCCCAGAGGTGCATTCACATTTAAGAGTACTGGAATCTTCATATAGTATATATTTTTCAAGAAACCTTGGGTTTGGAGACATGACAGTATTTTATGAATTGTCAAAACAGTAAATGCACAGTAAAACTAAGTAAACTATATAATATGCTAGATGGTGAGAAATGATATAAAGAAACATGATGTAGGGAAAGTGAACAGAACTTTCCAGGTTAGGCAGGGTTATGATATTAAAAAGGCTCACCAGAGGAGGTCTTCCTGAAAGGAGACTTGCAAGAAAAGGCTTGCAGGAGATGGGAGAATAAGCCATAGGAATATCTAAAGGCAAAAATCCTCAGACAGCACATCCATTGCAAATGTCCTGGGACAAATGCATGCATGGTATGCTTTATCAGGAAGTAAAGGGGTAGGTGTGTTCAAAGAAGAGGTTTATGGAGGACCTTACAGGATTTACTCTTTGAGAAAGGAGAAGCCAATGGGGAATTGTGAGTAGAATAACATGATCTGACATGGTCATTCTGGCCGCTGTGTTAAGAATAGAGCACAGGTGGCCAGAGTGGCAGTGGGGAGAACAATTGGAAGGTTAGTGCAGTAATACAGTTTGAAGGATGATGATAGCTTTATTTAGGGTTGTAGAGGTGGAGTTGGTCACATGTTCAGATTCATGATATACTTTGAAGAAAGAACCAAAAGGATTTACTGACAACTTAGAGAGGAATTAAGGATGGGTTGAAGGTGTTAGCCTGAGAAATTAGAAGCAGTCCTACCACTAACTGACATTGAAAACAGGGAGGAGCTGATTTTGAGAAGAAAGTTGTGAGTTCAGTTTTGGACATATTAAGTTTGAGGTGCCCATCGAACTTTTAAGTGGAAATGTTAAGTAGAGAGTAGAAATAGTGATATAAATTTCAAAGGAGAGGTCTGGATTTGATATATAAATGTTTCAGTGTATGGACAATATTTAGGTCCACTGGACTGAATGAGGTCACCAAGAAGTAAGTACACTTAGAGAAGAGAACAAATCCAAGAACTGAAGCCTGGAACTCTGTGACATTAAGATGTTGGGATGATGAGGAATAATCAGCAAAAGAGACCGAAAAGAAGCATCTGTCAAAGTAGGAGAAAATCGTGAGATGCTGGGAATGTTTCAATGAGGAGAGTCATTTATATCCAGTGCTGTTGAGAGTTCAAGAAAAACAAAGGCTGAGAATTGGACACTGAATTTAGCAATGAGAAAGAGCCTGACAAGAACTATCTCCATGTTATCGTGGGAGGCAAAGCCTGTTTGGACCGGATTCAGGAAAAATGGGACTAGAGTATTTGGACAGTGAATATAAACAACTCCTTTGATGAGTTTTCTTATAAAGAGAAGGAGAGAAATAGAAGAATAACTGGAAGTAGAAATCTGGCCGTGAGAGGTTTTGTGTGTCTTTTTGAGAGGGAATGGAAAGAGAAGAGTTGGCAGGTTTGTTCTCTAATGGGAAAGATCCACCAGACGGAGGAAGTGCGATGATGTGAGAGAGACTGGAAAGAACTGCTTGAGCAGCATAACTGAGTAGAGGAGAGAAGATGGATTCTAGTGCACAGGTGGAGAGGTTGGCCTTTGTAGAGTTTATCTTTCCATTGTACTAGAAGCGGAGGCACAGCATATGGACACAGATGCTGGTGGGTGGGTCTCATCTGGTTGCCCTATTTTTTCAGTGAAAGAGGAAGCAAGGCCAAAGCTGAAAATGATGTTGAGGGAGGAGGTAGCAGAATGTTAGCAAAAAGAGAGGAAGTAGTGTGCTAGGATTACATTTACTTCCCTAAGGATTTATGATGATAACTCATGCATGACTTGAAAGGAGGTTTGTTACGTGAAGAAACACATCTAATGAAATAAGATTGTATAACTAATAAAATAAGAGTTTCAGGTGCCAGAACTCAACTTACCACCGGCCTCAATTATTTTAATTTCTCCTAAGAAGAACCTAAGAGTGTGTGTGTGTATGTGTGTGGTGAGGGTAGGTAGGGGGACTGTTGTGCTCTGCAAAGAGGAGTGGAAGTGTGTGAAGTTTGCAACTGGCCTGATGTACTTGGCAGCAGATGGCATCTTCACCCTCTGTTGGCCCCACATCAAGGATTTCAGGCAGCCATTTCCTCTGCCTATTTTGGCCAGTGACCCTCTCTCACCTGCTTTTACTGGTCCATAATCTGTTGAAATTACTTGTTGATTGATCATTCCCATCCCTATCATTTTGTTTGAATACTGTAGACTAGTTTTTCTTTGTTTTCCCATATATTTACTTTAGTGGACTTTAAAAATACAGACAGCGAAGATAAATATATTAGCCTGTTTGTTCATCATGAACCTGAAATATGAGTCACTTTTAAACTATAAGTGACTATTTCTAAGTTACTTATAAACTATAATCCTTAAACAAATGTTCTATAAATTATTTGAGATGACAACAATGCTTTTTCAGAGAAGACCAATCTATAGTTTTGAGATTGAAATGAAAGAAGAGGAAAGAGGTAGTAATTCATGGAGGAATAAATCTTGCATCTGTAGCTTGAATAATTTTCCAGTTAAAAAAAAAGCTAGATGTAGACAGTAATACCAATAATTAATGTATACATAATCTTTACATTTTCACTCCATTATTTTATTTTTATTTGAACAATAAATATAGAAACCACTAGTAGAGAAGATGCTGGCAACATTACAGAACTTAAGTCCTTTGGGATGTGAACCTTCACTCAACCTTTCATTATGATGATGCTAATCTACTTTTATTTACATTACACACTTTGCATTACACAGCAGTAATTTAGTGGTTACAGTGTTCTTATTTTTATTGATGATAAAGAAAAAGCCAAAGTAGTAACAGCTTTTGGGCTTAATAACTTGGATGGGCTCTACAGTTGATGAGTCCCTTATGAGAATGGTCTATTTTAACAGCATTCATTATGCACACCATTAGCTTTGCACAACTAACATCAGGATGATGTACAGATCAATATGCACATTGGATTCTACTCATGACCTCAAACTATAAATTTTGGGTTCCAGCTCTTTAACCCAACCACCCTCTGACTTTCTAGAAACTACTTAAAATTCCTATGCCTCAGGATTTTTATATGAAATATTAGTATAACTATACCATCCCTGTCTGTTTTACAGAGTGGATGAAGGACTTAAATATTTTAACAGACATGGAAAACTCTTATTTTTGCTTTTCCTAGCCTCACTCCCTGCTCCTAGCCTTTGGATTGTATTTATTCTCCTGTCTGTGTTTCCCCTCACCCTTGTTGCATTTGTAGATATTTTTGCATGGTAACAACCTGAACAGTCTACACCAACTAATTCATCCTGAGATCCTGCCTTCTGAGTTTGGAGGAATGCTGCCCCCTTATGATATGGGAACGTGGGCAAGAACACTGCTAGATCACGAGTACGATGATGACAGTGAATACAATGTGGACTCCTACAGTATGTCTGTAAAAGAGGTGGAAAAGGAACTCTCTCCCAAGTCCATGAAGAGGTATGCTGGAGGTGGCTGGGAAGTGGGCTGGAGCCAGTGTGAGGGTGCCCCCAGTTAACTCCAGCTTTTATACTTTTGGGGAATATATATTTGGTGGGATTTTAAATCCTTTTATGCCTCCATCATTAGATGTCTAAGAAAGTTAAGTCAAAGACAAAGTCATACAAGGTAATGTCAGCACAGTTTTGTTCCATATTCACAGAGACTCTAACAAGGCTCTTAACTGAATGAGCCACCCAGGCGCCCCTCAACCACTTGGTCTTTTTTTTTTTTTTTTAATTTTTTTTTTTAACGTTTATTTATTTTTGAGACAGAGAGAGACAGAGCATGAACGGGGGAGGGTCAGAGAGAGGGAGACATGGAATCTGAAACAGGCTCCAGGCTCTGAGCGGTCAGCACAGAGCCCGACGCGGGGCTCGAACTCACGGAGTGTGAGATCGTGACCTGAGCCGAAGTCGGCTGCTTAACCGACTGAGCCACCCAAGCGCCCCAACCACTTGGTCTTAATCAACTCTACATCCTCCTCATTCTGGTCACTGCTTATCAGTCACTTCCTTTATTTTTTTGTCTGTCAAATCACTGATTTTATTTAATTCTATTTCCTCTCCCCAAATTTAAGCTTCATGAAGACTTCAGTGGCTTTGTCTGTCCTGTTCTCTGAATTGCCAGTGCCTGAAGTAGGGCCTGGCACAAAGAGAGGGTATTCACTGGGTACTAGTGGAGTGAATGAAGGAGTGCTCTGCTGTCAGTGGCCCCTTTTAGGTGCCATGTCCAGAATTGAATAGGTGACATCTGATGCTATCACTACTTGCATTTAGGTTCCAGAACCCTAGCTTTGCCCTCAGTGGCTTCCTTTGATTTCTGTTTTTGACTCTATTGCTATGGTTCAGGCAGCGAAAGCACATTGCTGACTCATCTTGAGCTCCCTAACACTAGAAGGCTCTTTACTTACAGATCCATATCCTCATAATTCTCTCTTTCTGTGTTTAGCTTTTTCCTCCAAGCAGACAATTTTAATTGATTAACACCATCTTGTTAGATTTGGCTCAGTCTGTCCACCTTTTGAAGTCTTTTTGGGTCTTGATTTTCTTCTCCAATTAATTAGGCCATTCTGTCCTCTGACGACTTGGCTCACAGCACATTGACCTCCCAACCCTGAGTTTCTTGCTTCTGACATGGATTGATTAGAATTTCAGACATCCTTTGTTTGGGGTAGGTTTTGTATTATGTGAAGTTCTTAGGGTGTTATCTGAAAACTTGTGAAGAATGAGCCTAAGAAAGTTATTTCACTTGAGTCTCATCTTCTCTAAGTCAGGGAATGGCAGTTCCCTGTTAAGAATGGGAGAAAATTGTCTCCTTTTCTCTATTTCCCCCCCCAGTTTTATGTTATCATTAGATTGAGAGGGAAAAAAATCATTCCTTCACCAAAGACTTGTAGATATTTCCTCCTTTGGGGGCATTTAGCTAGAGGTGTAGGAAGAAGACTTTCTGCCTCTGTGTCAATTTGTGGAGGAATACCATGGTCCATGAAAAGATACAAAGTTCAAAAGATTGTGGGTGTTTCAAAGTGGAGGAATGTCTTTTGCCTTATATCTCTAGTACCTAGGATAGTGCCTAGGGTAGGCATGTAACAGTTGAGTGAGTAGCAATATTAATATCGCCATGGTAATATGAGCTCTGATTTTATTGAATAATATTCCACATCTGTTGTTACTACATGTCAAACTCCATCTAATGCTTTGTATACATTGACTCGTTTGCTTCTATAAATAATTAATAGGTTAGTACTATTCCTCTCTCATTGGTGAGGAGATCCAGATAAAGAGAAGATAAATAACTCCCACATGTCACATAGACAGACACAAAGTAGCACTGCTAATATTGGAACACCAACAATCCAATTCCGTCAGTCGTTTCCTTAACTGCTACCATTTGTGAACTGCCAAAGTATGTGCTGGACTTTATGCATGCATTATTGAGTTTGATCCTTAGTACATCTGTATGATGTAGGTGTTGTATTCTCCCTCTTACAGTTAAGAGAACAAAATCTAGGAAGTTTAAATAGCCTTCTCATAGTCACAGAGCTAGCAAATAGCAGACCTGGAATTGGAATCCACTTCTGTCCAAAATCTGTCCTCTTAAACACAAAGGTATAACGCAACATTGTGGGTGCATAATAAATGAATAAATTATAACTGAGTGATTAAATTTAAGTTATTGGGATTCATGCAAAAAAAAATAGAAGTTATTCATTGCAAAGACAGTAGAGGCTATGTGGAGAAGGTTCCCATATACTATGAGTTAATGATAAACAACTCCTTCTATTGTAGCTGAAACAGGCACATTCACTTATGATCCTGCACAATTATGATCCTGCACAAATATGAGGTACCTGAGTGGCTCAGTTGGTTAAGCATCCAACTTCAGCTCAGGTCATGATCTCATGGTTTGTGAGTTCCAGCCCCACATCTGGCTCTCTGCTCTCAGTGCAGAGCCCACTTAAGATCCTGTGTCTCCCTCTTTCTCTGCCCCACCCCTGTTCATGCTCTTTCTCTCCGTCAAAAATAAATGAACTGAAAAAAAAAAAAAAAAAAAAAAAAAAAAAAAAAAAAAAAAAAAAAACGCCCTGCTGTTTTGTATAACACAGCAAAAAAAAAAATCTGGACTAAAATAATGGTACACTTGGGACAATTAAATACCGAAAAATCTTAATCGGAAATCGTTTCTGCCTGGCTTGTTTTATTGAGGAATTGTTCTACATATGGAGCCAACATTCATCATCCAACAATTCTGATACTGGTAGTTCATGATAAAAGCAAACTAAGAATTTAATCCCAGGTTGAATAGTGCACTGTAATTTAAAATATTTTATTAAAATAACCATATTCTCTAATCACTTTTTAAAAATAGTCAAGGAACTTAAGGATTTAAAAGACTGTATGTGTGTGTGTGCACATGTGTGTGTATGATATATGTTTTCATAGAACCTTTTGGCAAATGCTTAAATTGTGCACTTTATGCTGCCTGAAGAGCTTTGGCATGTACTTATTCAATATTATTAGGTTATGCTTCAAAATTCATAGAATAAATCTAATTGGTGAGAATTTTAAAATGGATTTTCTGTTAAGAATTTCTTTTTTATAGGAAAAATGGCTTTATCTTTATTACTCTTGCTTTTAAATGCTTAATACCAAACTTCTTTCAGTTATGGAAACTATTTATTGCGTAGAATTAAAGATATTAAGATCCTGTTGTGTAACAGACTGATACACATTGTGTTCACTGTAAGGAGAGAAACTGATCATGTCCCTGCTTATGGAATTTACTAGTAGTCACGTTAATACTTTAGTGCAGGGCATCAAATGAAATTTTTTTGTTTTAACATGGATTTTTCTTAGGAGACCATTTTTTTGTTTGTTTTTAGTTGAGTCCAAGTAAAACAGTGTTAAAGGTCTAATTCCTAAGTGTTTTGTGCCATTTTTCACTGTGTTAAAATGTTATTTTATTCATCAAATAAATTATTTTTCCTAAGATATGGGGCGCTTGGGTTGCTCAGTCGGTTAAAGGTCTGACTTTGGCTCAGGTCATGATCTCTTGGTTCCTGAGTTCGAGCCCCGCATCGGACTGTGTGCTGACAGGTCAGAGCCTGGAACCTGTGTCTCCCTCTCTCTCTCCGCCCCTCCCAGCTCATGCTCTGTCTCTCTTTCTCTCCAAAATAATAAACATTAAAAATTATTTTTCTGAAGATAAATTATTATTGCCTTTAAAAATGATACACAATCTTTTATTCCTTCCTTTCTTCCTCCTTCTTCTCTCCTTCCTCCTCCTTTATTTCCCCTTCTCCTCCCTGTCCCTCTCCCTTTTTTTCCTCCACTGTCTCTCTCTCACCCATCTGCTCATTCAACTTTAGTTGGTCTCCTTTCTGATATACACATGTGTAACCTATTACTGAGATAAAATAGTGAAAATGACTTAGGAAATAAAACATTCCTATTTTAATGTCCTCCCCTTTCTTTTCACTCCCTCTTTAGAGATGAATTTAGGTTTATTTAAATAAAAGAGTCAATTAATCAGTTAATCCTATAATTATTTTTGCTTTGATAATTAGTTCCATTGCTGTTCTTTTTCATTAGCATGTGCAGTTGTATTTTAGCTTACAGTCTTTTTTTTTTGAGAGTTAATGAGGTCTGCTAAGAGGCATATTGCCACAGCAATAGCCAATTGGCTGGAATGCAGCAGCAGGGGGGGAAATTCATTGCTGAGGAGAATTTTAAAAGGGCAGCTGCTTCTTTAATGCCATAGCTATTAAGAATGCAGTTTCCTGCCATAACAGTAGTATGTTTCATTGACTTTCCCTCTGCCCAGTTTCAAGTTGTTTCCTAATGATGAATTGAGATATAATCCCTACCTACTATCAAAGGCATGTATAAGGAGTTCAAATGATTGCTCTTGTAATCACAAAGTGCTGCTGCCTCAACAAGAGGGATTTTTACTCTTTTAAAGCCTTAAATCATTTCATGAAACTTTCCAGAGTAAGACTGATTTTATTCAGATGCTCTGGTGGGAAATTTAACAAAAGCTCACATTCAAATTTTGATTCCTTTTCTTTTCCTATTGTGGTCATCCAAAATGAAAAATGATGGTTAGGGACGCTTGGGTGGCTCGAATGTTTGAGCAATGGACTCTATTTCCACTCAGGTTCTGATCTTATGATTGGTGAGGTCTAGTGCTGCATGGGGCTCCACGCTGATAGCGCAAAGTCTGTCTTGGGACTCTCTCTCTCTGTGTCCCTCCACTGCTCTCACTCTCTCTTTCAAAATAAATAAATAAATAAATAAATAAATAAATAAACATTTAAAAAGGTGGTTAAAATGCACATTCGTGTTGAATTTGTTTCCAAGAGCTCTTTAAAACAGGAACCAAGGCTCCTATCACTTCTACACCATTTCTCATAACAATAGTTTCACTGTAATAATTTTCCACTTGGGGATGTGCTATTATCATCCATCTGTCCTACGCTATAAATTCTCACTCTCAAAGAAAAGACTCTTGATCGATTGGGAAGAGTAGAACTTAAGCCTATTATGGTACATTTAGAATTCTTTGCTGCTCATTATTTTATTTAGAGCTCAGAGGGGATTTTTTTCTCCCTCTGATGCAAAACCCATGGTAAGCATGTCCCTCTGTTAACGTGCAGCATTCTCAGTTCATAAAGCCTTTGATGTAGGGAAGATAATCCGCATCCATGAGAGCAGTAATAATGGAGAAAAGACGGAGAAGGGAACATGATTATTTGGTAACAACTCTCTGACATTAGCCTTATCATTTCCAGATCCCAGTCGGTAGTGGATCCTACAGTACTAAAACGCATGGATAAAAATGAAGAAGAAAACATGCAACCTTTGCTCTCTCTGGACTGATAAATTCTCTACACTCTCCATGGATTAGAAATGGAAGGTACTTGTTTTCAGCAACAGGGACAGCACTGTGGAAGAATGACCAGCTGGAAACTTATTTATTAATGTTAATGTAGCATAATATATAATAAGGCATTGGGCTTTCCCATTTGCCTGAACCATGGGTGCCCTGGTCTGGAGTTAAAGAAAAAAGTCAATAATTTATTCTGTAAGTGCCAAGTTCTTTGTAAATATAATGTAATCTTCATGTCAAGTTTGTAAACTTTGGTAGTAACTTAAATTGGAAAAGATTGGCTCGAGACCATACCAGTGATATGAATTATAACAAAAACCAGAAAAGACACACACGCAATGGAAGCTAATTAAATGTAGCCCTGTTTCCTATGAAGCCATATTTCAGCTATCATAGTGATTGTTTCATTGTTTTTCTCTGAAATTGTCATATTCCAATGTACTTTTAATGGACACAGGTAACTAGATGATTCTAGGAAATTAGTATGATAAGTGTATTTCCTGTCTAGTGATTTTCATTTCACACAAAATGTGTCCTAGTGACTATCACTGGCCTTGAATTTTGGAGACAAGGAATGGCAGAGGAGCTGGTAAACTAAACACTTGAACTCTTCTATGTTATTTAATTCCTGGAGTCTTGTGAAAGGATATGTTCCCCATATTAAGATGTCGAATTCTGAAAGAGAGTGGATTTTTTTTTTTAACTGCTGTCTTCACAACGTGGCTTTTATTTAAGACCCCATTGTATCGTTTCTCGGCCTTTTGGCTAAGATCAAATGTAGTATTTAAGACCCCATTGTATCCCTGTCTAATGTACTTTAAGAACATTTCCCCCCAAACTCTTTGACCAAGAGAAAGAGAACTCATATGTGAATAGTGTTTTGACAGCTAATTTTGGGCATAAAAGTTGCCATGTACGGATAAGGGGCTAGTTTCTAATTCTTGTGCACTGGTTGGAAACATAAACATATATATTCACATGCACATATATATTTTTATTGAGCTCTAATAAATTCTTGATGTGACAGGCTTATAAAATAAATCATACATATTCAATGGTCTTAGAGATGTTATAAATGATTATGTGAGATACTAACTCCGGAAAACTACTTCTGCTAAAGTTAATGAAAATGATGTTTAGTGAAATAGACTTTCAGTGAACCTGTTTAAGGGAATTCCAATTTAATTTGTAATGCAATCTTGAATCTGTGCCATTTTAGTGAAAAAAAATTTTCCTTTAAAAAACAACAGGTCTCAACGTAACATAGGTTTTAGGTGACCAAGAGTAATACAATTTTTCTCAAAAATCCAAGTAATTATCTTAATGACTCTGTAAGTACAGATTTTCTTTTCAGAAAAGACTGAAGGAACATATTGCATCCATAAGACATAATGAAAGCTTCTGAGGGCATCTGAGATAGCATATTATAATTCAAATCTAGATGTGGAATCCTTATGTTATTTAGTTTTTATTTCATAGAAATTGTACAATTATAGCACATTTTAAAAATCTTACTTTAAATTTCAAATCCCAGTGTGAAAAAGCAAGATTTTTACCACCTCTTCAGAGTGACAATTTTTGAGATCGAAAATTTACCACTAAAATATTCTTTTGAAAGAAACATATCTCAAGGAGCTCTGGAAACCAACAGAAATAAAGGCATGTAGCAGCTTTTATATATTTTTGGCCAAAAGCTTCAAAAATTCCAGTGACAATTCTATAGCCAAAAGTCTTAAAATCAAGATCAGGACACCAATCTGCAGTCTCACTGATGGCCTATCTAACATTTGTAAAAATACATAATCTATACATAAATAATATGATTGAAATACACCTTAGAAATGCCAACCTCAAGGAAGTGCAGAAGAATAACAACTGTCAGGTACTCTGCCCTGCGCATAAATATGATAGAGATTAGAATGACCTGGGGATAAAAAGCCACAGCAACTCTTATCTTTGTTAGAACCCTACCCATGAGATTCTTACGTTTTTGCCTACCTGATGTACATTTTATAGTCTTGGACTTCATATACTACAGAAGCAAGTGTTAGGCAATAGGATGCATTAGGATAAAAGAGAAACAAAGTACAGAAGGATTGTCAACTTTTCAGTCTCATGTGTTTCTCTTGAAATACACTATTTATTGGCATTTTTTAGGATTCTACCAGCTTCAGATGTCAACCAGTATAGCCAGCTTCTTTTCCCTCTCATAAGGCTAGTGTCATATGTAAAAATAACCAGAAAGGCATATTTTATGTGTATACATACCTATCTAAGTATGATTCCCACTATCTCCCTTGCCCAACATCTGGAAACTTCATTTCCCATTGCTGTGTGTCTGTTCTTCTTCAAATGAGCAATTCAGAGTTGGCTGCATTGTGTAAAATATTTTTAAGTGAATGAAAAAATTACAACAATGATGCCTTTTGAAATTGCTTTATCTAGTTCAATCTGTGAGTAGACTCGTTTTCCAGGAATGTTTTTGGAGCTGCTTGGTCAAGGGATATTTGGTCAACTCTATAAATTTTCCCTTCAGCACCAGCTAACTTGCACCATTTCGGGATGCTTTTCCCTGATGCGATATTCTGTGTTATATCTATTGTCACATAACTTCATAAATAAGCACCCCCATATTCTTTCAATTTAATTGTGATAGTCCTCTCTCTCTCTGTCTCACACACGCCCACATACATACACATACCACACACACCACACACACACACACACACACACACACACACACACAGCTGTTTGCCCTCATGGATTTGCCTATTTTGAGATCTATGCTTTACTTTTGTAGCCGTCGTTATTGAAAATAGTAGACATCAAAGAATTACACATTTCATTTGGAATAGGCCAGTTGTTCATACTTCTCGCACCCTGCCTGTTCTGCCAGCTAGTTCTTATATCCTTTCTTCCTTCCATTGTTTCAGGGGCGGCTGCTTCCAAAGCTAGTTTAAAAATAAATAGCTTTCCTTTTATTGTCAGTGATATTTATACACATTTTTGCCTGATATTTTTAAAGGAAGAGATTATCGTGAAAATACACTCTAAGAAATATGAAGAAGTGCCTCTTTAAAAATGAGATAAAGCAGTGATACTAGAATATGGATTCTATTTATATTCTCTTTGGAAAAGTAAATACATGCATCTATGTCATAAGGGTGAAATATAAATATCATTTGAAGAAGGATATTGAGGCCTTGCTTTGAACATTCCCATAGAGTATTAAGTCTTTATTGTGTAAGTTCAATACCGTAACTTGAACATGTTATTGACAAGTCTGGCATTATGCTAAAACAATATACAAGTGTTTGTTCAAGGAAGTTTTTGAAGTGGGCATGCATGATTTTTTTTATTTCCGTAATAGTTTGCTTAGTGTAGGCAGACATTCCTTGAGTCTTTTCACAGAAAAATGCTTGTTTATTTTACCATACTGAAAATTCATACATTCATAAGCAGGAAAGCCAAGCAGCTAGGTTCTCTCTAATATTGTTAACTAGGTCACATTGTTAAAGTAAATATTTGAAGTTTCTGTACTATTCCCGAGGGAGCAGAGGTCCCTCTAATGCATCAAGAAAATGGAGCATTGTTTTAGACCTCGGGGAACATGTTTATCACTCACAAAAAGAAACCCTTAGAGCCATGGCAGAGTGTATCTTCAGAAACAGATTTCCTTTCCTTCTACAAACAACCTAAAGGTTTATGGATGTGTCTGTGACCCCTTAGAGAAATTATATGAAGAAAACCTGCTGAGAGGCTATGTATTCTGTTGTTGTATCTAAATGTCTAACTGATCTGGTTAGTTAATAACTTTTTTGATTCTTATTTTGTGTGTATTTATTAATGATTACTTGAAAAGCTGCCATCAGCCATCAGGACATTTTAGAGTGATTTTCAACCCACAAAATAAAAGGAGCAAAGGTCTGGCATGATATTTGAACTTTCAGATATAGTATTTACATTTTTACATCAATAAGCTCATAGGCATATATTCCTTTTTAAGTATGCTATATAGATATATAGCCTAAAAAATAGTGGTGCATTTTAAATTTATGAAACCATTAGATCATTTAAGAATCAGCAAGTTACATAAAATGTATTGGCACAAAAGTACAAGATTGGCTAAATATCCAGGATGTGTAATTATCTTCAGTAGTAAAAAGGATTTGTTTTTTTGTGTTCATTTTAGTTGAAAGAAAACTGATTTCAACGTGCAATTGGAATTATTTAACACTATTTGCTAGTTGAAAGGTGGCAAATAAGTAAGACTACAAAAGGAGACTTGACTTTGAAACATTATTATATCTTGATCTTAGTGGCTTAAAGAATGTAAGTTTTCACAAGTTCAAGTTTTTATTTTGTAAACATCCATAGGTTAACCCCACACATGGAGATACTATTATGGAGTCTATTCTGTGATAAGTGTGGGAATTTATTCCTTTGCATTGTGGGAAAAAATACAAAGTAGCAATTCTGTGGATTGAAACAGCCAAATTTTACTGTTTTTCAAAGGTGGAGGGTGCAAATGATACTTTTTAAATTAAGAAAAAAATCAAATATGCATAGATTTAAATACAATGAATACACTTTTCTAGTAGATAGTGGACATGTTACAATTCAGAAGGTGTTGGTCAATATTTGGCTTAGTTTCAAGTTTCAATGCAAATATTTGTATCTTTAATGATATCAATTCATTTATTCTGTCAAAATTATTTTTGTGGTGAATGAGAGAGACCTCAGTGAAAACTGAAATAAATGTTAATAGAACTTTCAAGAGTTAATCAATCCCCAACTATTTTGAAAAATTGCAATGGACTATAAATGGTTTACATATAATAGAGTTTCAAGCATTGTCTTATTTCTAATCTAGTTTTCAGCTTTCAGACTTATTTAGAAGATAAATAAAATTCCAAAACCACATACTTTTTTTTTCCAAACTGTCCAGAAAGAAAACAAAACAAGATGTCTAAGAGGTAATTTATAAAAG